CGAAAATTGTATGAGATTCCGGTAGTGAAACGAAAAGGAACATCATTTATTGAGATGACTGTGGTCGAGATTATTCATCACAGGATGAGTTACACAGTGAAAGACCACGTACGATAAACCTTATAGCAATGTGTCCCACCTACGGTATGCTCCCCGGAGCGATCGTTCTCAGCCTTTTTTAAAAGTGTTCACTAGGCTGGAGTTTTCCTGGAAAGCATAGCTCCAGCTGGTCGATAGATGAACTGATCGTACTGCGCTGGCTTGGCCACGTGCTGTGTATGCCAGTCTACCAACTTCCTCGAAGGACCCTCTTCGCACAACCATGTGAAGGGTGGAAGTGAGCCAAAGGCGGTCAAACAATGACTTGGCAGCGAAGTACGAAAGTCATTACCAGCAAACTCAGCTGCGTTGCTTATTGCCGCCTTCTTGGATGGGGACCCCGAGACCGGCCTTATCAATGGTTAGAGACATTGTCAGACATGACCCAGTCGCGCCAAGTACGCGGTTATTACCGCTGACAATGACGAGGATGATAGATAGCTGCAGCGGACACTTCCATCCAAAACGGCCATTATCGCAGCCTATGCTATAGACAGGTTGTAGATCGGACGCAGCAGTCCAACGTCATTGAATGCAGTAAGGCTCGTTTGGCTCATATGCACAGAACACGCCTGTCACACAAAGCAAATTACCGAACGACTACACGCGACTAGTCAAATAATACTTTTCGTTCTGCCAGTGTCGAATGAATTACGGGTTACTACACATGCAAGACGGGGAGCGGGCAGGAGGCCACTCTAATCTTTCTCATCAGGAGATCGCATGATAAATGCTGTTTCTGTTGAATAAACACCCTGCCCACGCTCCTACACTAGTATCGTTCCCCGCAATGGACTGTTTTGGGTTGCTTGCCGATAGTTCCGGTCCTTATTGACAGAATGGTCACCAGAGGCCTTCTTCGTTACTCTCCTCCACTTGTCTATTGTTTCATCCGAAAAACAGCTGCTCCAATCAGTCCAGAATTTCGCTTCAAAAGATGGTTTTCATAGAGCTCAAATATGCTACGAGTATTTGATTATATCCCCCATGAATATCAAAGGTCGTTTCTGTGACCACTGTTTGTGCTCACTGCCTTTGACACATCCGTGACATATCCATGTTTGTCTTCACAGGCTTGGTGGCCGCAGTTGGATAAATTCCCCAGCATGGGTGATCGTCTTCACGTCCATCTATTCACCCCGTTGGCTGGACCCGGCACAACGTGGCCCCTAAATAAGAACGGGCATCCGCAAACCCTACTGACTCACGTTGACGTACGTCTGGTTGATCTGGCGCTGAATATCGAGGGAAGCTGGCGTTCGAGTGGCAAACCAGTGGTACTTGATCCGAATCATGGTGGTGAGTACTTTTGGTTTTGCCTTACTCTCTCGCTTATTGTATGTCATTTGGACGAATTTACACAAGCCACGATTGTTGTTGGATCCCTTAGTTGAAGGATGAGTGGCGCTATATCGCTATATATCCCTGTCCGAACGGTTAATTGTTCAGAGTACTCATCGGGAGGCCACTGGTTCGAGACTCTGGAGTTTCGTAAGATGTGCATTGCCGACGATCCCCGATAGGGATGAAACGCTGCAGTGTTCCTCGTTTTTTCACCTTAGATTGGCTTCATTTATATGACCAACTCTCCACCGGGCCAAGACTGGAAACACTTAGCAGATGAGTAGTGTGAAGGCGAACCTAAAGTTGGTATCGGGCTATTCTAACGCTGACCCAGTTGGTCATTACAGATGGTTGTCTAGTCCCGCTGTCTTCGTACACTACCCTAATTTGAATATCCTTAGCAATGACAAACGTGAATGTCTGTAATGTTATCTTTTTATTTCAAAACAGCACAGCTTTTTCTTGGTAGTGTAAGGAGGTTTTTAAAGTACCAATTGACATTCCGTTTTATAGGTGAAGCCACCCTCTGTCGAGAAACACTGTGAAGTTATTTCATCCTTATTGGGAGTCATCAGCATTGCGTATCTCAGAGGACTCCAGGATTTAGTCCCTGGGTTGGACAATTGGACTACAAACGTCTCATCACCAGTCGAGGTGACTTCGTTAGTGCGTAGTGGTGCCTAGCGATGGGTTAGTTGATGTGCATTGAGCGGTGTTGTGTGTACGTGCTGCCAGCCGGAGCTGACCTTCGGCCATGGTTTGTAGTTCTTTTGGGCGGTTCCATTGGTTCCCCCGTTACCCTGTGTCCTGATTGGTCGATACCCACGTGGACTTTGAGCGTAGCCTCGTGCTGCCAGCCGGAGCTGACCTTCGGCCACGGTTTGCAGTTCTTTTGGGCGGTTCCATTGGTTGCTCTGTTACCCTGTGTCCTGATTGGTCGATAACCACGTGGACTTTGAGCCTAGCCTTACCTGACCTCGTACTCCGGTCAATGTTGGAATGACCTCTGTCGCTGACCCCTCTGGGATCCGGCTTGTGACCTTTATTGACCCGGCTCCAAGAAATTCATTGTCAACTTGGTTTGTGAATCCGATATTCGGCTCTCCTTGAGTATTCCGGTTGAGTTGTTGGTCCCTTGCGCGTAGTTGTGCGTTAATTGAATCTAATCAGCCATGCTTCCAGGAATTTCCCTCTGTATCTCGTGCCTCCGTGTGCCAAAATTTTTCACGTTTTCCAGATTGAATTTGTGGCCTTCTTGGTCTTCATAGGGGTCATGTCTCCTGATGGCCGCGTTGTGTCGCTTTATTCGTGTGCAAAATTTGCCAGCAAATTGTCCATCTTAGCGAACAAACCCATGACCATCTATTTTACCTGAGCTACCAACATTCTCCTCTGTAGTGCTGCGGGGTGTTTCAAGCCGACAACTTCTTTGTTTGCAGTTTGAACCGTTTGGCTGATCAGCACTGAAATTATCCTGTACTTAGATAACATACAGCCCCACTCATACCGAATTCTGGATTCTGATTAAGTAATTGTCCCTTCACGAAGAGCGTATCTGTGATTGGTTTGCCTAGCTGTCGTCCAATTGGTCTAGTATGACCTACCACCTATGATAGGAGACTGTTATTCCGCTTGGGACAAATTGCTAGCCGCGTTCTAGATGCTGCGAGATGGCCCAAGTGGTTAGAGCGCGAATTTACTGACCGGAAGGTCCGTGGTTGGAACCAGACCTCTGCCTCTCGACTCCCCCTGTCTAGGTCTGGGAAACCTGGTAGTATCCCAGCCCTCGTGCTTCCCTCGGGTGGCATGGCAGCTAAGCGCCTAAAGGGTGTTACAGCTGAACGGTTCTAGATACTACAGTCTCGTTCGCTACTGGGAGGTTGTACTGCCGAGCACAGACCATGAGTCGCAGTAAATGAACAAGCTGAACAAGTTGAGTCCTGACTACCTCCATCGTAGTGGCCCTGCATATCGTCTTTGTACGCCTTCCTGTGCATACAAAGCCACTGTGGTATCCCAGTTGCAGTCCCGATTGCCTTCTTTTAGCCAGTCCGCTAGAATACCTAGTCTTCCAGTAAACTATTTGGTCAACTATGCGACTATTTTGTCATCAATCACTCTACGCGTTCACCACAACGATGACCGCCTTCGTTCTACGGTCGAAAATTGATTACGTGTGTGCAACTATTTGGTCAACTATGCGACTATTTTGCCATCAATCACTCTACGCATTCACCACAGCGATGACCGTCTTCGTTCTACGGTCGAAAATTGATTGCGTGTGTGTGTGTGTGTGGTAGAACGGATTCCTGTTAGGTATTTCTTTCAAACAGATGCATAAACATGGCTTTGTGACATTTCAGAACGTCCTCCCAGGCATGTGGAATGCTGTGGTGTACATGTTGGCGCATTCCTTCAAATTCTTGAGTCTCGAGGTTTCGCAATAGTGGTCGTGATTTTAGGCTTGTCATACCGTGTCTTAGTGTCCATCATAAGGCTGGTTGACTGTAGGTAATCCAGAATATCCTCTGACTAGAGCTCTTCCAGTCCATCGTGGATTTTTCTCAGCACTTAAGACTTCGCCGTGTCAGAAAGCTCAGAAAATCAGTACCACGAGATGTTGGCGACATTGCTCTGGGCAGATAATACATGATTAAGCTTTCGCGACTTACTCGTGTCTTCCTTATCTCATTTTCGAGTTTGTCTGCAATCTAGGTTTAATGCCTCATTCATCCGATTGATATCGACAACACCTTTTCGCAACTTCTGTCCATCTAGGCTGATCGAGTGTGGATTTACTGTAAGGGGTGTATGAAAAATAGGGACTCTGGACTTTGCATTCTAGGAGCACATGATGTTTATACTGTGCAAGGCACCCATCCATATTTCCGCCCGGAAAATACATTACGAGTGCACACTACTAAGGTTAATTGAGTAGTGTTTTCACACGCACCAACCGAAGATTTACTTCGATTATTGACGTTCCGGTCCAGCGTTCCCTCTGATCCAATTCGGCACCAAACTTCCCATCCTACTTGCTGCTACGAAAGGGAAACCAGGAATGCATTGCGCTTACAAGACAGAACATTAAAAAACTTCCCCAAGACAGATCCGTTGAAGAATACCCGCTCCTGGGGCGGGTCACAACAATATTCTATAGTTTTGCCTTACAGCACAAAGGCCACTTCATATGGGTCATATTCTCATTAGGTTGGAAGATATTTGGGACCGATAAAGAAGTCAACATCAACATTAAACCAGCTGACTGTTGTCACGGCTTTCTGTAACGGGACTACATACCTCTTTCTTCATGATGAGCGATGACTGCAGTCAATGTAAAACATCAGGGATATCGGGCAAGTGTTGGGAACAGCTTCTTTGTAGGCTCTGAGCAAGTTTGGGTTTGATTACTCCTGGACGTGTTAGCACGCACTCTTAGTGGCTAACCTGTCGCAGAGCGATGCAACACTGCTGATCACGAGATGCGTCAAAGTTGAGAGTTCTTTCATTGTTTCAGCTCAATCTGTCATCTTAATGATGGCTCACATCCACTCTTCTGGGAAGAAGTGAAGTTCTCTTTGTGACGTTCATGGACCGTAGGTCTTATTAGGATCTTCTCCCGCGGTCAGCTATCCAACTCTGGATTGTATTCATCCACGTCTTGCTGTTGGCGACTAGTTTATTGTTCGTAGGTATTCGCATTTTGGTTTACGGACCTTGGCACTTCATTCGAACACGTGTCTCCGTAGCTCGTAATGACGCGTTCATCAAACAGCTCGGTGACATTTTACCATAGACGTTTGTTGCACGCGGACTATGGACACCCAACGCTGTTTTCGAACGATTACGTCACGACTTCATACTCCCTACTTTTTTGGTGGAAACTTAATACTATGCCGTTTCTTTTCTCGTTTGTTGTCGCGTGCGATCTTCCTACTTCCTTTTAAAGCCCTGACAGATGTTTAGCGATGTTTTTTTGAGACCGATGCCCATGCGTGACCTTCGAATTCAAGTGAACTTTTAAAACTTTTATAGCCCAATTTGTTGCGATTTTTTGCAAAGTTTCCTCTTGGTTGCTTTGCAGGTGACGAGTCGAATAAATTTTCCAACATATGGTAGGAAGCGTTTTTTCTAATTCTTGCGTGCTTACCTATCTTCGATCCATCTTTGATGGGATCGAAATGGAAAAATTGAACCGCGACCGTAGACGCCAAGATCCGTTGTTATTTTGCTTCTGAAACATCCTCTTTTGGAATGAATATCAGAGCTGTTCATCGATTAGAGTACTGAAGCCATGTCTTCTAGGAACCTTAGCAACTTCAGGTTGTGTCACCTCGTAACCGGTTACTTGACAAGTCAAAACAAGACCAAAGGCTAGCTGGTACGATCGATGTGCCCGGTCGTGGAAGTAAAAGTTGACCCACATTTCCGGGGCGTATGGTTTTCAATTGTTCCGGGAATTTTTGTGTGATACGGTGCCTCTTAAATTAAGAAAAACAACTTTAAAGTAGCATTTCTTGAAATGTTCCGGTGTACGAACACTGCTCGCTCAGTTCGTATGGTCTTTTGATGGAGGCTAGGGAGCCTCGAGCTAGGTCGCGAGACCGATTTAAGGGATTACCTAGATTCACCACTAATCGCCTATCAATACGAGTTATCCTTCACTTCAGCGAAAAACGTCGTGATTGTTAGGAAATAAACGTTTTTTGTGATCTTTTCGTCACATGTATATGTAACAGTCGGTGAACTACAGAGGCTCACTTAATGCGGTTGAGTACTGCGTGGTTGGCTGAAACCGCTGTAAGTGCTGTGCATTGCCACCAGAATGATGGTGGATTTTTTCTCAGCGGTTGTTTACGTATCCGACCTTAGCAGATACTGGTTCTCGTACTTTTGTGAACTCACACTGGACTCAGAATCATGGAGGTCTAGTTCTGGTGGGATACAGCAACCCGCTGCGTGTGTTAAGGTCCATCCTGCGAAACCCTGCGGCTCCTAAACG